TCCCTCCTCCAGGTCCTTCCCTAGCCCTGCAGCTCCTCTCCCCACTCCCACCTGCACACCCACGCCATCTCCCTCCCCACCCACCCCTGGCCTCTCCGCAGGTCTCACCGCAGGCCACTCCCGGAATCCCCTGCAGCCTGAACCCTCCTGTCCCGGCAAAGGCTGCCTGGCCAGTGGTCTGGAGGGATACAGGGATGTTTGCAGATCTCTTGGCTTTGTCATTAAGGGGACGGTGGAGACATGAGCACATCACATGCCAGGTCACACACTCCCATCATTTCCCAATCCGAACTTCTCAGGTTAATGACGGTTGGGATTTCCTCAGGATTCGGAGCTGCTTTGGGCAACTGGAAACCTGGGGTGATGGGTTTAATGTCTGGGCACCGAATACTCTGAAGTGCTATGGGGATTCTGCTTTCCCTCCCTCCCTCCTCCTTCCTTCCCTCCTCCCTCCTTCCCAGCCTTTCTTCCTTCTCCCCCTCCCTCCTTCTTCCTGGTCCTTCTTCCTTCTCCCTTCACCTGGCAGCCATTTATGACCCTGCACAGTGCCTCTTGCTAGATTTTCTGATTGATACTCGTTTGATTAAGTTAACATTCTGATAATTGGATGGTCCTGGCTATGGGGGCTTCAGAGATGCTTGATCCTGGCACAGCCCGTCCCCCAGAAGGCCCAGTCTAGATGGGGGGGGGGCAGGACTCTTCATGCACAAGGACTTGAGGACAAACTCCCCACAGGACAGGACCCCAGATAAAGGTGGCCCAGACGCCCTCCCCGCCTGGCCTGCCACAGCTCCTCCCCAGCCCCTGCTCTGGGAAACCAGCCTCCCTCCTGGACACCAGTGGCTGTCACTCAATACACACAAGTGACACTTGCCAGGTATTGGGCATGAAATGTGGCTCTGACTGCCACCTGGCAGCCAGGAAAGGAGGGAGTGAACCGCTGCAGGCCACATGAGCCCGGGCTTCCCCTGCCAGTCAGCTGGCCAGATCCTCCCTGCCCTGTGCCCCTTGTCAATGGCCCTGGGATGGCAGAGACGGGACTAGAGCAGCCTCCACCTGTCTAGGCCCCTGTTGGCTTTGGACTTCTGCTGCCCGTGCCGTGTGCCTCCTGGGATCTCTCACCTCAGTGACCTGCTCAAAGGACACAGCAGCTATCATGTCCCTGTAGCCCAGACAGGCTGTCATTCCCCATGGACCTGTGTCCTCTGCTCTTGCCTGTTTCTGCTGGTGGCCTGCCCCTGCCAGCCCACACTCTGGGCTGGCCAACTGGTCCAGCTTCATTCCTGACATGACCTCCTTAAATCTTTCCCCTGCCTTTGGTCTGAGCCCATCTTCCCCCATGAAAGAGCCTCTTACCCTGGGAGCCGCACCTGGAGGTTGCTCTGCCTGACAGATGCCGTCCTGGTTCCTAGATCTATTTCTCTGCCTGAGCCTCTTCCCTTCCCATCTCCTTTCCTGGTGGCACCAAGCCACCTCGTCCCCCTTTTTCAGAGCCTGCCTGTGTCCCACTCCTTGGTCTCTGAATTTGTAGGCTTGTGCTGGGGAGGCCGCAGCCCCTGTGCTCCCCACTCTCACGGGGTCCTGGGCATCTCCGGCACAGCCCTCCAGTGGTTCAGCTTCTGGCCAGTGAGCCTGTGCAGGTGAGGCTGGGACCTTTATTTCTTTGCTAACCTGGAGTGCATGGGCACTTCTTCTTCTTCTTCTTTTTTTTTTTTTTTAATACCAGGAATTGAACCCAAGTGAGCCACTGAGCCACATCCCAAGCCTTTTTTTGTATTTAATTTAGAGCCAGGGTCTCATGGCATTGCTCAAGGCCTCACTAAGTTGCTGAGGCTGGCTTCGAACTCAAGATCCTCCTGCCTCAGCCTCCCAAGCCTCTAGGATTGCAGGCATGTGCCTGGCAGTATGTGGGCACTCCTGACTTGACCATGCTCATTACCCTCCAGACCCTAACCCAGATGCCCTCACCCCTCCTAGTTAAGCCAGACAGCAATCAGGACACAAGTGTTCCTTGGTCAAAAAGCTCCCCAGTGGCTCTAAACTGCAGCCCAGGCCGAGGATCTGACCAGGAGGGACCATGTTCATTGAGTAGCTACGACATTTCCTTTTGCTCTCCTCTCTGTCCTAACTCTTATAAAGAGCATGCGTGGTAGACTTCGGAAGTCCCTCCTCCCCTTGCCCCTCAAGCCCAGCCCTGCCTGCAGATTGTCTCTGACCTGGAGCAGGGTGTGGTGGAATCTAGGGCATGAGAGGAAGCCTCAAGGAGGAAGCTGTGGAAAGGCAGGGTTTGTCCAAGGCAGACATCATGACCAGAAGATGGGACTTGAGGGAGGGAAAGAGAAGGGGAGGAGGAGGAGGAGAGAGGGAGCAGGCCACCAGGAAAGCCAAGAACAACTCCCACAAGACAAATAAAACTAGGCTTGGTCCACTGGACCCTGGGCGCAAAGACGCTGCCACTTTCTATCGGAGGGACTCCTCTGAGGACCTGTCCTGGTGCCACACGTTCCCTTAGTAAGACTTCCAGGGAGGAGGACGGTGCTAGAGGACCAAGCCTTCTGGAGTTGAGTCACGGAGCCCCCTGTTGCAAGCTCTGAGGGTTCCAGGGAGGATGAGGTGCCCGGGTCCCCTTGAGTCTCCTCACACCCATGAGAAGGGACACAATCTTTCTCTGTGGTGCTTCCAGACACCCCGGGGTTCTCATTGCCTTCTGCTCAGCCAAGTGGCTTGTAGGGAACTCTCAGTGGACCCCTACAGAGGGCCTCTCCTCTGGAGGCCTGGGGCAGCCGGAGAGCCCTTCCCCAGGGGACCTGGTCTGTAGGGACCAGGGGCATGTGAGGGCCACCCTTCTCAGTGCTGTTCCTCAGTTTCCCTGCACAATCGGGGCCAGGCTTTGGTGGGTCATTCATGCACTCAAAACGCAAACATAAAGGCCCAGGGCCCTGTCACCAGCCCTGTCCCCAAAGTCTCCAGGCAGGGCATGATCTTCCCTTTTCCCTCTGCCTCCATTCAGGGAGCCAGTGAGGAGGTGGCAAATGATGCCGAATTTGATTTCCCGTGCAAACCCACCGTGAAATATTTATGAAGCACGACCTGAATAATTAATAGTTTCTCACAACTCTAAACGCGGCTCCATAACAGCCCAGCCCCAGCCCCTGAGTAACTCCCCCTCCAGACAGCCCCCAGCAGCGCCACTGCCAGGTGGTGGGGGTGACTCGCTCTGCTCCCTGGGGGGTGCCAACCCCAGGCAGCCAGGGAGGATGCATCCCAGCCCAGCTGAACTTCCCTGGCATGTCCTGTGGGCCTAGGACCTCCCCTACCTGGAAGCCAAGTGCACGGACAGACAACCAGATGTGTCTGTCTCCCTCCTTTCCCTCCCTCTCTGGGGAGGCCAGCAGGGCCCCTTTACAGAGAGACCAAGGCCCCACTTGGAAAGGTGGAAGCTACTTCCAGTTACAGAGCAAGAAAACCTTCAGGGGCCTCTTTGTGGCCCAGCCCCCAGATTTTTATGACCAGAGAGGTTAAATAGCTTATCTCAACTCACACAGCAGGATCCAGACGGAGCTGAGCAGGAGAGCTCTTTCCACAGCCTCCATCTTTGTCCTTTCAAACCCAGCCTAGGAAGACCGAGGTCAGAAAGGGCCAGGGAGGACCTGGCCTAGGTCAGTGGGTGACCCCAGCACTGGGACAGGGTGCAGGCCAGAGAGTGGCGGGGCATGCTTCCCCAGGTCTCCCGCAGGGTGTCACCAGTTGGAGGCCCCCCTAGGAGAGGCTGCCTGTGCTCAGAGGGACCCAGTGGGTTCCACTTTGGTGTGGAATTCTTGAAGAGGGAGGTGCTTGGGGAAGGGAGAGAGAAATCTTCATTTAAATGCAGATACAGGCCTCTCACCTGGGACTGGGAAAAGTTTTTCCATTAAAATGCTAATGAAAGAACAAACTGCAACTCCAAATCCCCAGCTGTCACGGGCTCCCGTCCCAGCCCCCCTTCCCAGCCCGGCTCCCCAGTCCCTTCCAGCAGGGGGCTGTGGGCAGGCCTTAGAAACTGCTGACCCTTCTCTGTGTCTTTCTCTCATGTCCCACTTCTCTGGCCACTGAATGCTTGGCAGCTCTCTGGAGATGCCTGTGGAAGGGACAAGTCACCTTCCCCAAAGCAACAGAGGCTGCAGTTTGGAGAAGTGGTTGGGAACTAGAGCTCTGGAGTTACCTATCGATTATGCTGCTTGTTAGCTGTGTAACCTTGGAAAACTTACTTAACATCTCTGAATATAAAGGTAGACACATAAAGAAGCCTGGCACACCACGCGACAACTGTAATTATTGCTGTTATTAACGCAGAGATGCAAATTCAGGGTCCCGAACAGTGCCTATTTGTACAAGGATAAGAAGATCAGCTCTCTTAGAGGCCACCATCACCAAAGACTCCCGTGGGCAGCACTGGCAGGCATGGGGCCTTGGGAGGGTCCAGAGCCACCTCCACCACCCGGCTGTGTCTGAGGCCTCATCCTTTCCTACACAGACGCTGACTCTCTCCGACCTTAAGCCCAGCCGGGGGCCCATGTCTGGGGGCACCCAGGTGACCATCACAGGTACCAACCTGAACGCAGGCAGCGATGTGGTGGTGATGTTTGGAAAGCAGCCCTGCCTCTTCCACAGGTAAGCCCCTGGGCCCCAGGGGTGCAGTCAGACAGGTAACCCACCCCCATATCCAGCCCCAGGGAGACTGGGGGTTTCAGGAGAGTGGGGAGGGGCTGCCCAAAGCAGGGACTTCAGGACTAACTCTTGCTCCTTCCTAAGAAAGTGGGTGCTCTCTTTGGGAGAGGTGGCTCAGAGTGTCAGGGATCCCTTTCCTGGACAGCCATCATGCTGCTGCCCACCACTCAGCCTGTGCCCCACCGCATCCCCTCTGCAGAGCCCTGGGCTCCACAGAGCACAGCTGGGAATCCCTCCCAGGGGCAGTACCCCCCCCCCCCCCCCCCCCCCCCCCCCCCCCCCCCCCCCTCCCC